AACAGCCCCGTCGGTGTTAGTGTTGCTGATAGGAGCAGACACCACTAACACCTAGGGGGAGGCTCCTTCTATTGGTGGGGAGCATCACCTGCTGGAAAATGGGTCCAACGTCCCTTAGACAGAAACTGAGAATGTCTTAGAACAGTGATTGTGAGGCCTGCCAGCATTGATTGCCCTGTCTCCAGGGGATTTACTGAGCAGGTGTGTGTGTATCATAGTGGTGTAGCCCTTGTTTCCCGTATCTCTTCACCCCCGGGGGGGTGCCAGATGTTCCATTAAGCTCTGATACTACTTCAGGAAGGCATAACAAGCTGCTACCCAGTCGGTGTAGTCTGGCTTATAAAGCAAGGGGAGGAAGGGGGAGGAAGGGAGGGATCTCTTCACCCGGAACTCGGGGCCAGATATTGCTGTTATTCGCTAATTCCTCCCTCCTCCAACTAGACCCTGTGGGTGCCAACCTCCTTTTTCTCATCACGATGTCCTTCATCCCACACCACACCTAGCTCCCGACTAAGTCCAAACCATACCACGTGTTGTCCACTAAGCAGTTGGACGGGGGGGGGAAGAAATCAGGGAGATGTTCCAGGGATTTGAGAGGGATTGTCGGGTCCACTTTGGTCCAGTCGTTGAAGCGTAGATGATAGTCTCTTGTGACGCCCGCCTCTGGTTGGACCCCCCTTGGTGTTATGGTTTCTGAGGGATCTCCCTTCCATTCCACCTTCCCTATCCTCCCTCCATGGGCACCCCCAAGCTAGTTTGAGTTGAAGTTCTGGATTTGCTTTTTAATGTCATTTGGTTCTGTGAGAGATTGGATTCGTGCGTTGAGCGCATTCCATTTAGCGGTTATTTCCGTCTGTATCTGGTGCTGAATGCTCTCAGTAAATTCTGGACCTTCCAGCCGCACCCCCTCCATTTTGAAGGTACAGCGCCGGCGCCAGAGCGCCCAGAGAATCGCCCGCCGTCCCAGCCTGAGCATGTTGTCTGTGAAGTCGTCTGTTTGCTCAGTCAGACTCTTGGGCCAGGTTTCGCATAGTAAGGCCTTCCAATCCCACGGCCATTTGACGTTTGTCTCGAGTTGGTCCCACACTCTGTCCCACCATCGCTATAGCCAGAGCGCTCCGGGGCATTGGAGAAAAATATGCTTGATTGTTTCTGGCTTTTTCTGAGGCGGGAAGGCGTTTGTGCAGAGTTTGCACTATGGGAGGGCCCGCCCTTGTTGTTCTAGGGTCGTTCTATCATTCAGCCAGTTATTTGTTGGAAGACAGCGGTGCTCGATCTGCCATTGGAGCGAGGACCATTTTGTTGGCCTTTCCTTAACTGATCGGAACCATCGGATGGGCCTAAGCTCCTAGTTGCTGATATTGAGATGGTTTTCCCAGCGCTCTTTCACCTGATCGCGCAGAGCGGCCTTTGGTCTTAAGAGCCTGTAGGTGGATTTGACAGATAGAGCATATAAGGACTTTGTGAACTTCTTCCCTTGCCTACCTTGGGTTGACCACTGCCATTCACCGGGGTCTAGGGCCAGGCGGTATAGGGGGGTATCCGGGTCGTAGGCTATCCATTGGCCATCCTCCCGGAGTACCCGGATTCTATAAAGTTCCTCTGGTTGGCATGTCAGGCTGGCGATGGTGGGTTCATTTTGGATAGCGTTACCCTGTCCCACCCTGAAGAGCTGCAACTCCACATTTCCATTCTCGGGGCACGTGACCACCCTACCTACGTGGTCGTGCCAGTCTCTGATCGCAACCCAGTTTAGCTCCTGCAGAGAGGGCCCCTTGCGAAGGATGTTCCACCAGGCCAAGGGGATCAGTTCGATCAGTTTCTCCAAGGCATCATGCGGCCGGTGGCAGTAACGCAGTCTCCATCGGAGCTGGTCGGGTTGAATCCAATCTTTCCTATCCATGTCCCAGATGTCCTTTACCCTTATGATCCCATTCTTGAGCCAGCTTTGCCAGGGTGTGTCGGTGCTCAAGAGCATACGGCCAGACGGGTCCACCACCCGCCGGTTCCCGAATAGGGGTTGGCGCGCCACCTCCTCCCACCTTTCTGGGTCGATTTTGTCGGGGGGGGGTAAGCTCCTCCATGTCCTAAGGAGGTTGGGCCAGAAGGGGTCGCGCCGTAGGTCTGCTCTGGCTGCTTGTCTAGGGCAGGTCGGGGAGGGGACCCTGTGTTGCACGCGAGTTCGAGGGAGGGGCCATTCTCGGTTCTCCAACCACATCAGCGGGTCGGTCCCCTCAGGTACGTGCGGTGCTAAAGGTGAGATTTGTTCTAGCACAAGCCCTCTCCAAGGGACCACTGGGTCAAAAAGGAGGCGTTTGAGCCATTGTAGAGCGAGAGCTTTGGTTTGCAACGGGGGGTCGATAGTCCCCAATCCTCCCCGAACTTTGGGCTGTGTAATGTGACCCGATTTAAGACGTTTGGTCGTTCGTGGTCTCCACGCCACAGGAATGTCGTTAGCTGGCGCCGCAGTGGTTGCAGGGCGTTCTTGTCCAAGGCCCAGATGGCGGATTTGTACCACATGGAGGCCAGGACGACGTTGTTGATGATGAGGGCTCGACCGAACAATGAGGTGTGTTTGTCCCTCCAGCGGGCTAGTTTGGCCAAGGGGGGTGAGGAGATCCACTCGTTATTGGTTGGTGGTCTGCCTTCTGTTGTCATGGAGACGCCCAGGACCCTGATGGGAGCTTCCTTGGGGAGCCAGTTGATTCTAGGGTGTTCTGGGGGTCTTACGCCTTGGTGGTGTATCCACCACCCCAGGGTTTTGTTTCCCCAGTTCACTTTCATGTCCGACAAAGCGCAGAAGCGGCACTTCTTTTCGTCCTCTGGTGTCTGGCGCTCAAGGGGATCTTTTATCGCTTTCAACTCCCCGACAAACGTCTCTCTCTCCTCCTGCGGCACGTACAGTTGTGCCTCCTCATCCTCCCCCAACGATAAATTAGCCACCCATTTAGTTATCTTCTTTTCCATCCACGCGTCTTCTCCCTTCGTGCCACTCGTCTCTCCTCTTTCTCCCCCACGCCTTCTTTCAAGGGGCTCTTCTACTTCTTCTTCCTCCTCCTCTGCTGTTGCTGCTTCTTCGACAACCTTCGTCTTCTCTTCCTCCTCTCGTTGTATCATCAACATCTTCTCCTTCTGAAATCTCAGCATCTTTTCTTCTAACTACTTCTTTTTCGCCGCCTGCTCCTCTGCTATAGCCTTTAGCTTCGCCTGCTTGAGGAGCTCTTTCTTCTCTTTCCTCTCCCTCAGGATGGCGGCGATCCGGGCCTGCTCGGCCTCGGATTGGGGAGCAGTACTCTTCCCACTACGGGTGTCAACCATGGTGATAGTTGCACAACCAGGCAACGGTTCCACTCCTCACCACTTAGACGCTACTCTCCCTGACTGACAAACCTACTGACTCGATCTAAGGACTTACAGGATCCGGACATGATCCTGTCAACTAGGGTCACTAGCCTAGAGGCAAGACCTACTCTAAGGCTGTCACTACAAGACCTGTTGCTGATCAGGAGACATTTAAGAAGATCCCCCGTAACTCCTCAGGAATTATTTAACGTCGCAGACAGGACGACGCGATCAGCAGGTCTTCTCAAGACTTAGACGGCCTGTTGTGCAGCCCACAACTCGGACTTTGGGCCTACTGTGCAACACCGAGCAGCCCGCCGGTCAGTATCGGTCCTTGGGAGGGTTCGTGTCCTCCGGGACAGTCGAGTCGTCAGACACAGTCTTTAGCCCTACTTAGCCCGTGTGGGTTTGGTCAACAAGGCCCTATCCTTCATCCACAGAGTTCCTATCACTTGGCCAGAAGAGACTCAATGCAGAAAGAAGAGACAGATAGACTTGACTCAGCAAGTACCACAGGGTGTGTGCACATCCATAGTGCGAGGGGATAGGCTGAAGGTTTGGCGAGATTATACCGGCTCCAGCTTGGTCAAAGTCGTGGTCAACGGTCTTGGTCAATGCCTTGGTCAATGCTTGGTCAACACTGCAGTCAACCCCCGGTCAACGCCCGGTCAACGCCTGTCAATCCCGGTCAACGCCCGGTCAACTCTCCCGGTCAACTCTCCTGGTCAACACCCGGTCAGCTATGGCTGCCGGCTTCTTCTTCCTCACCACCCTTCTCCTTCCTTCTCTCCACCTCGCCTCTTTCTTGTTC